AGTTGGGGCTTTTCACTCTTGATTCTCTGTTTTTTTTTTTTTTCTATTTAGAAGATTTTTGATTGATTTGATTCTCATCTTGAAATGGGTTTTTGTATCTTTACTTTGTTGGGGGGTTTGGTGAAAGATTCATGGAAATGGTGAGAAACTTGTTGAAATGGATGCTTTTGTTTTGAATTTCAGATGTAAGTAGTAGCATCTTCATTGATTTGAGAGACATGGAAAACAATTCTTCTCTTCCAATGGATCCAGCAATGGATTCTTCATTCATGGATGGATTATTACTAGAAGGTTGCTGGTTAGAGACAACAGATGCATCAGAGTTTCTCAATTTTAGTCCTTCAACTTCTGTAACACCTTTTGATCCTTCTTCCTTCATGTGGTCACCAACGCAACAAGACACACCAGCAATCTGTTCATCTAGTAGCTTATCTCAGATGTACGGTCAAGATTCTGCAGAAAGATCGAGTCTTGAGGAAGGGAAAGATCTCTCTAGCTTGAACAGACGGTTTTGGATTGGACCAAGTGGTTATGGTTCTTCTGTTATGGAGAGATTGGTTCAAGCAGTGAAACACATTAAAGATTTCACAAGTGAGAGAGGAGACTCTCTTATACAGTTGTGGGTTCCTGTGGATAGAGGCGGTAAGCGAGTTTTAACAACAAAGGAACAACCTTTTAGTCATGATCCAATGTGTCAAAGGCTTGCTCACTACAGAGAGATCTCTGTGAATTATCAATTCTCTACTGAACAAGAGGATTCAAATTCCAGTTCCAAGGACTTGGTTGGTTTGCCTGGAAGGGTTTTCTTGGGGCAGGTTCCTGAATGGACTCCTGATGTGAGGTTTTTCAAGAACGAGGAGTATCCGAGAGTTCAACATGCTCAAGACTGCGATGTTCGTGGCACGTTGGCGATTCCTGTGTTTGAACAAGGTAGTAAGATTTGCTTAGGTGTTATTGAAGTTGTAATGACTACACAAATGGTTAAATCGAGGCCTGAGCTTGAAAGCATCTGCAGAGCACTTCAGGTTTTGCTTTCTTATTGCTATGTCTCCTTTATCGTCGAAATACGCTTCCTTGGAGACTTATGAATTGCTTCTTTTGTTTGCACAGGCAGTTGATCTTAGGAGCACAGAAGTTCCGATTTCGCGTTCTCTAAAGGTAAAAGTTATAAACGTTTCGGTTTTTGTTTATCTTCGTTTCGCTTTACTTAACAACAAACACTTAAATCAGGGACCTGACTTCTCCTACCAAGCTGCATTACCTGAAATAAGAAACCTCTTGAGATGTGCATGTGAGACACATAAACTACCATTAGCTCAAACATGGGTCTCTTGTCTCAAACAAAGCAAAACCGGTTGCCGTCACAACGATGAGAACTATATCCATTGTGTATCAACAATAGATGATGCTTGCTATGTCGGTGATCCAACAGTCCGTGAATTCCACGAAGCTTGCTCTGAGCATCATCTTTTGAAAGGTCAAGGAGTTGTTGGAGAAGCCTTTTTGACCAATGGTCCTTGTTTTTCATCTAATGTCTCTAGCTACAAGAAGTCTGAGTATCCTCTCTCTCACCACGCAACTATGTTTGGCTTACATGGTGCAGTCGCAATACGCTTACGCTGCATCCACACGGGATTAGCTGATTTCGTCTTGGAGTTCTTTTTGCCTAAGAATTGTCGGGATATCGAGGAACAGAGGAAAATGTTGAATGCTCTTTCGACTATAATGGCGCACGTACCTAGAAGTTTAAGGACAGTCACGGATAAGGAATTAGAAGAAGAGGGAGGAGATTCAATGTCGAGCGAGGTGATAGAGAGAGGAGAGACATTGCCAAAGATAGAGAACACATCTGAGTTACAGCAGAGTAACAGTAATCCTCAAAATGTTGGATTAATATTCGATGGAGGAACATCGGATAGAGGCGAGCTAGGCTTTGACTATGGCAAAGGTTTGAGTGTGAACGAGAACAGCACTTTCTCTAGTGCTGGTGGTTTCACTAGTATAGCCGAGAAAAAACGAACGAAAGCCGAAAAAACCATAACTTTGGATGTTCTTCGACAGTATTTTGCAGGGAGTCTCAAAGATGCTGCCAAGAGTATTGGTGGTAAGTAAAACATCAAACATTCTACTTCTTGATTTTTCATTGGTTCATCAAGAATTCTGTTATTTGATCTTGGAACTTGTTTCAGTTTGTCCGACGACATTGAAGAGAATATGCAGACAATATGGGATACAGAGATGGCCATCAAGAAAGATCAAGAAAGTTGGTCATTCACTTCAGAAAATCCAACGTGTCATCGACTCGGTGCAAGGTGTTTCGGGTCGTCATCTTCCTATAGGATCCTTCTACGCGAATTTCCCAAATCTAGTTTCTTCACCTGAAGCATCATCACTACAACAACAATCCAAGCAGACTGCGATCTTCTCTTCTTCACATACACAGCCTGCAAAATCCCCTGCTTCTTCGTGTAGTCATAGCTCGAGCTGTTCCAGCGAAACACAAGTTAACAATAACTCTAAGGAAAGTCCTATGCATAAGACTAGAGAAGAGACAATGAATCTCTCAAGATCTTTCAAAGAAACTCAGGCCACACATTTATCACCATCAACATCATCACAAGAGGAGGATTTTCTGAGGATAAAGGTAAGCTACGAGGAGGAAAACATCCGGTTTAGGATGCGAAACTCGCGTAGGTTAAAAGATCTATTGTGGGAAATAGCGAAACGGTTTAGTATAGAAGATGTGAGCAGTTATGATCTGAAATACTTAGATGAAGACAATGAATGGGTATTGTTGAGATGTGATGATGATGTAGAGGAATGTGTAGATGTTTGCAGATCTTTCCCGGGACAAACGATTAAGCTTTTGCTTCAACTCTCTTCTCAACATTTACCTGAACGTTCTTCTCTCAGTGGATGCCTTTCGT